TAATGTTCAATTAAGCATAATTTGCTTTATTAGTTGTATCACTTGCTAGTATTTGATTTGAGTTCCATAAGTGCAGAAAAGGATTGAAAATTGTGCCACATCAATTTTCGATACGCCTACCAAAGATTCCATCCGTGATGATGCTATCGCTCGAGTTTTAGGTCCTGAACGTCATGGGAGAGTTAGGAGACTTGGATTTGGAGTTGTACCATCAAAGGTGGATGGACAAATACAAAGTAGTGAGAGAGTTAGAAAATTTGAAAGCCAATTATAGATTCAGGCACAAAGGGTAGGGCATTAGAAGAAAAAATGGAAGCATTTATCAGGTTTTCTCAGCAGGTTATAAGTAGTTACTTTTTATACATTTTAAGATTATATAGCTTTATATAGCCAATTACATGTATAATAACTTTTGTAATTTTTTGTATCATTATACAGAATGTGGAGGATAGGAATTCAAATGCTTTTACTCAGGTTTTCGTTTCCTATATTATTAAATGTTTGTTTAATATATATTCAGTTTGTAGCATTCTAATTTTAAAAAGAATACTTTTGCTTATTATAAATTTGTAGTCACACCAAGGAAGTGGTGTCCAGGGAAGTACTACCTCCAAGATAATGCAAGATGTCAACTGTTGTATTGATACATATTTGAGGAGGAAGAAGTCGTAGCAGAAGGGAAGATTACCACAACAGACCCAAGTGTAAAAGTGCATCACTTGCCACTCGATTGAGGAAGTCTTTATGGGTAATTTGACTCTATACAGACCCACAAATGAATTTCACACTCTTAGTGAAGCCATGGGAAGTACTATTGCTTGACCAAAGAGCAATATTAGACTTCTTGATTAAGGTATATTTTTTGAATTTGTAACATATACGTGTCCAATTTTCATTTTCTTTCCATCCCAAATAGTATTTAGTGTTGGTTGGTTAGTTGATACGTATGAAGTGGTTTCATGTAATTGGTTGGTTAGCTAGTGAGATTTGGTAGTGAGGATTAATAGGTTACTTGGCTTAATGCTTAGGTTTCATTCAATAAGTTTTTTGTTATTGAATGGTCGAAACATGATTTCATGCTGAGGCTAGAATTCTTGTAGTGGGTAATTTGTTAAAGTGTGGGCAATATGATTTTGTGCTAAACTTGAAATGCCTTTATGATTGTCTTGATTTGTCACAATTAAGTATGTCTCAATGAAAAGGAGAAGTTTTGCTATTTGAATGTTAATTTGTTATTCAGTGGTTGTTGGCTAAAAACACCTCTACGGGATTCGTTGATTGCAGGCTGAGCTTTCTCCAACGAGAAGTTTCTTTTTCAAGTAAGATTGATGCAAGGCTCGTTGGACAAAAATTGTTCCAGTTGCAATGGTATTGATCAAGTAACATGCGACGATTTTAAGTTTAAATTTCGATTTTTGTAGTTTTCTAATTACATTTTGGTAATACATGTTTGGAGACTCTTAATTTTATTTTGGAAAAGATTATGTGTTGAATATTTTATAAATTTAATGAGTACATGTTTGTTAGTTCATTATTTTGGTGGTACATGTTTGTTTGTCTTGAATGACTTATTTGATTAAAGAACATGATTTTTAGTAGTGTTTTAAGCATAGATGAAAAAATGTGAATTATATATTGCAACGTTTGTTAAACGTTGCAATCGCCTATGTATTGCAATATCTTTCCAACATTGTAATAGCCTATCTATTGGAATGTTTAATAAACGTTGCAATACATAGGCTACAACGTTTAAAAAAAACGTTGCAATAGCTTGCAATAGATAGACTATTGCAACATCTTTTCAACGATGCAATAGATAAGCTATTACAACATTTAACAAACGTTGCAATAAATAGGCTTTTGCAACATTTATAAAACGTTGCAAAAGCCTATATAGTGCAACGTTTGCCAAATGTTGAGACGTTTGGCAAACGTTGCAATAGATAGGCTTTTGCAAACGCTGCAAAAACTCTTACTTCAACAGCAACATCAAGTTTCGCAACATACGCTCAAATGACTTTTTGCAACATTTTTTGGTTGTTGCAGAAGCCCTTTTTTGGTGTAGTGGTAACATATCTGAATACTCCATCATCATCTTTTTTCAAATTCTTCTCTAAATAAGAAACCAATATCGTATGCATATCTTTCATAGAACTTGAACATTTCATTTTCATCCTTAGATTTCATACCTACCTCAGGTACAATAGCACCATCTCCGACCAACATATCTTTACCTAGTATGTTCGCATTATCCATAACACTCATTATTGGACTACACCGAAATATGTCATCCATATATTCCATAATTTCTTTCCCCGTAAAATAATAATAATAATAATAATAATAATAATAATAATAATAATAATAATAATAATAATCAATTACACTGTTGCAAGCGACATAACAAAGAAATAATTTATCAAACTACATTTAAAATTTCCCGTATGGAGAAAATAATAAAAGTCAATTACAGAAATAAACATTATACAGTAACTGTAGCTGAAAGGAAAAAAGAAAAAACTGCCTCAACTAATCACACATCAAAACCCCAAAATCAACAACTCACTACTTTACATTTCAAACACTAACAACATAATGCTCTGCTAAAGAATTTTTCAAATGAAAATAAAGGAAAATCACATCTATGAGGTATATAAAAATGTTTCAATTCTTTCATGTTTTTGAATGAGAATGCTCTAGAATCATAAAGTCAGACTTTTGCAAAACAATACAAAGCTTAGACTAGAAAAAATGCCAAATTATTAAACCATTCATAACAAGGAAATGCAAACCAATACCTTTTTTGGTCATATTCTCTAACGAACAACGCTAGGTCCAGTGGATATGTAGCCAAATGTAGGATGGTAGCTTTTTCCCCCATTTTCGACGTCATCAGAGAATGGGGTAAAAAAAAAAAATAAAGAATGAAAGAGATGCAGCTCTAACTCAAGCCACCCAAAAGTCTGATTTTCCCAAAGTACAGTCGAGAGAGAGAGAGAGAGAGAGACGCAACTCCAAACTAGCAGAGAACGAGATGCAAAGGTTTCTCCAAATGTGTACGTCTAAAATCACGCCAAAATTAGGGATAAAATGAATTTTGGGTTTACTTGCTTAATAAGAGGGAAATGGGTTTGACTCGAATTTGAATTAATTCAAATAACTCTCCCTTTTCCCTTTGTTTAACCCTATTTTCCACATTATTTTGTTAGTACTTCTGTCAACCCTTATGTTTGAATAGCATAATTCAAAAAAATGTTTCTATTTATAAATTGACAGAAAGGAATGGCGAATAACTAAATAGTAAAATTATATTGATAAAAATAAATCTTTTAACATATAAAAAAATGTATAAATTCATCAAATGAAAACTAAGTTAATGATAAGCTCGTAAATATCGTCGTGACATCTGAATTTCTTCAAAACAAACACGATGATGTTAATTTTTCCTTTGCATGCCTCTTGAAGTCCGTTTAATTGCAAGAAGAGAATTTGGATGGAAAGAAAACCAATTCCAGGGAAATAAATTGCCTAGAACTTGTTTTCTTGAGAATTGTCAATTAAATGTGTTTGATTGGTATAATTTTTCATCTGAAAAATGTTGAAATTTTCTATCTTTTGGTGTTCGTTTGATTTTGTTTTTCATGAAGATTGTCAAATAAATAGACATAATTTATTATAATTGGGGATAGAATTTGTTCCAATAGCCAAAAAAAAAAAAAAAAAAAAGGCTACCTGGAAAACCAATTCCCATGGGTCCACAAAACCAAGAAAATTGGTCACGTGTAGGGGATGAGGGGGAGAAGGAAAAAGAATTGCCAAGAAAATTTTACAATCAAGCAAGCCAAAAAGGTGGAAAATAAAAAATGTTTACAATGAAAAATTGGGCAAATCAAAAAGGCCCTTACTTCTGCATTCTCTCATATTTGTATAGGGAAGTAAAATTTCATTATAATTTAGATAGGGATAATTATATTCACTAAAAGTTGTATTAATTTGTTGAACTTTTAATTATTCTTTCATTTATGTCTTTATTGATTTATTTTTTCATTCTTATCCATTCTATTGATTAGTAAGTCCTTTTTATGACAATTTCTATAAAAATATGTTGGAAAGGAATAAATGACTTTTTTATCCCTCAAGTTTCTAAATAATAAATAGAAAAGTAGAAAAAATATTTGCCCTGTCCAAATCAAGCAAATAAAATGTGAGAAAATGTGCTAGTGAATTGAAAGTTAAGGATAAGAGTGCAACACAAAAAAAGGTTAGGAAAGTTCAAAAATGAGCAAAGACTAGAGACCTTCATTGCAATTGAAATATAATGTCGTCAACAAAATGTGTAGTGTGAGTATATGCATTTTTTACAACAAAGTAGTTTGATTTTAATTGCTTGTAGAAACTAGTAAAAAAACACAAATTTATAGGAATCAATATAAAATATTTATAGATTTGTCGTTATAAATAGTTAAAGAAACCAATATATACCCCTAATTAAAAATAACAAATCATATGTTATATTATAACATTTTACGTGCCATTTTATTATTCTTGAGAATTTTAACTTCGATTACTTTTTTGTCTAACAAAATTTGTTTTCTCCTTCATGTTCAAGTTCTTTTTTTATACAATTAATTCAAACATCTTGACTACATTACTAACATGACATTCTTTACACAAAATTATATATTTTTATTAACAATGTAATTATAGTTGTCTTGTCTTCTTAAAATTTTCCTTAAAAAAGAAAAAGAAAAAGAAAATATTTTTTTATTATATATGAATTCTTGAAAAATCATTAAATTGCAAAATAGCATAATTCCATTTTTTATTTTTTTTTAACTAACCTAGGCCTGTAAATTATGACAATTTCAAGAGAAACAAGAAAAATAAAAAAAAAAATAAAAAATTGATAATATGTGAGAGGATATGTTGGTCGTTATATAATTGAAATACAAGAATACACTCATGACGTCATGTCCTGAGCTAGGGCTTTCAGTTTCAGATGCTGGTGTAAATTCCCAAAATATTTCAATAATTTAATAAAGGCTCCATCTTCTTCTCCAGTCACAATTTAAAAATAGGAAAAAGGAAGCCATGGGACAAGGCAGGAAAAGACCCCAAGACGATGATTCCTCTTCCTCATCCTCCAAAATTGACCCCAACAATAAGCACTACCGCCGTCACAGCAATCACTCTCCGTCATCCGCAACAAATGATTTTCGCCCCCATCCACATCACAGTTCCCATCAACAAATAATGGGTAAGCGCTCAAAATTCATCTCATACCTTGAAGTCCCCTCTTTGACCCCCAAGGTAAAAATCCTTTGTGAAATCATATCTAACACTCCCTCTGCGAGTGTGGAGAAGTTGCTTGAAGACACTGGAATCCGGGTGTCACAAGAAGACGTAGAGGAGGTGCTCAAACTGTCGTATGGATTCCCGGGTCCGGCAGTGAAGTTCTTTCGATGGTCCGGGTTCCAGTTGAATGACAAGCATAGTCCGTACGCTTGGAACTTGGTTGTGGATTTGTTGGGCAAGAATGGCCTGTTTGATGCAATGTGGGATGCTATTAAATCCATGAGGAAAGAAGGCTTGCTGTCGTTGGCTACATTTGCGTCTGTTTTTAGTAGTTATGTGGTAGGGAATCGTGTACAGGAGGCATTAATGACATTTGAGGTAATCGATCAGTATGGTGTGCCGAGGGATGTTGTGGCGTTGAATTCACTGCTGAGTGCAATTTGCAGAGAAGGGAAGACACCAGAGGCATCAGATTTTTTTGTTATTGCAAGGAATACGATTAGGGTGGACGCAGATTCATATGCAATTTTGTTGGAAGGGTTGGAAAATGAGGGTGATGTGGGTAGAGCTAGGCAGACTTTTTCGGAGATGGTGGCTGACATTGGCTGGGATCCAAGGAACGTGCCCGCTTATGATTCATTCTTGAGTACTCTGCTTAAGGGTCCTGAAGGTGTTCACGAGGCATTGAAATATTTAAATACAATGATAGATAGGGGATGCTTCCCTGGGATGAAATTCTTTAAGTTTGCAATTGATGTATGTGTGAGGAAGAGTGATGCAAAAGGAGCTACACTGCTTTGGGAGGCGATGGTTGGTAAAAATATTTGTAGGCCAGATACAGGAATGTATAATTCATTGATTTCGTTGTATTGTAATCTCAAGGATTTTGATTTTGCTAAAAAATTGTTAGATGAGATGGTTTATAATGGGGCTTTCCCTGATTCTGAAACTTACAACCTACTGTTTCACTTTTTGATTAGATGCAAAAGGCTGAGAGAGGCTGCGCCAATCTTTAATGAGATGGTGAAAAATGAGTTTGTGCCTATACAGACAGACTGCAGTGTCGCAGTTAAAGCCTACATAGAAGTTAAGGATCCTCGTATGGCAATTAGGATATGGAGATGTATGGTTGAAAATTATAGTTTGGATTTGGAGGAAACCAGTAATTTGTTGGTTTTGGGGCTTCGAGACATCAATTGGGTTCCTGAAGCAGTTAAATTTGCTGAGGATGTGATTGAAAGAGGAATTAAGTTGAGCTCTGCGACGTTGTCAAAGTTGAAACAAACCCTAGGTAAAGTGGGAAAGACATTTGTTTATGAGGAACTTCTAAAGAAGTGGAAAACACATTAGGTAGGTTCGAGTTTGTTAAGAATATATACAGTCCCTGCATTAATTTTACAGTTTTTCTTCGTTTATGGCCTGCAAATTGTTTTTTCCTGCTAACTGTGTTCTTTAAATATCCACGGATTGACTTTATATTTTCTTCTTGATCCATTCCATATCATAATATCAAAATTCCCTTTACCTTTAATTTATAATGCACTGTGAAATAAAGTGCTTGCATATCAATTGCTAAAATGGATGCAGTAGCTAGCATAAGTTAAGCTTCGAATCTGTCTCTCTTTATTCACATGGTGTACCTCTCAAGTCTCATGTATGTTCACAAGATTTTTATTTTGTTCAAATTATAGAATGGAGTTTGTGAGACCAAAAATCCAGCAATACCCAAGTGATACCGGGCTCAGTTTCCACCAAAGTTGACACCACCACTATGTAGACACACCCAAATCTCTCTTTTCTTCTTCCCACCTACGGTTGCTACTCATACCCACAAAAATTCGGCCAAGATGAGATCAATATAGTCCAAGAGAAACCACATAGGTTGGTTGAGAGAAAGAGGCCGAGAGTTAGCCGTGAAGAACTCACAGAGAGAAGTAAAGAAGATGGCCATTTTGGAGGCGTGAAGGGAGCCAAGAGTTATAGCCCAAAGGTGTGACCGTATATGGTAAGTTAGGGTAGGTTAACTTAGTGGTCCAAAAGAGGCTTAACACAAAATGTATTGGGTTCCAAATGAATATCGTAGCCATCCAAGTAAATGGGACGGGCCACAAGCAACACTATTAAAATAGGTTGCTTCTAATGGTTCGTAGAAAATTGGATTGGGTTGTCTCGATGATAGTGTCGACATAAGTTCAATCATATGGCTAAGTCCGATTGTTAATAAATAAAATCGAGGTTACATCATTGTCCGAGAGGTCGTTTGACAACAAATTACCTAACAACCTCCACCTTGGTGTCAAAGGACCTATAAAACAAAATGTCTTTCATTAGTGACACCTCTAACAGATCAATAAAATTGGAAATCATTTACCTGTACCAATGTTTAGAAATTCCTTACAACTTCTAAACTTTGCCAGTGACAGTACCTTCGTCCCCATATCGGAAGGATTGTAGTGGGCGTGGACCTTTTCAAGTCTTACCACCTCTTGAGATACTATATCTTTAATGAAGTGGAGTCTAACATCAATGCGTTTAGTGCGCTCATGAAAAATGGGTTCTTACACAAATGTATAGATTACTGACTATCAAAATACACTACCACATATTCATTCAAGACACATAGTTCATGAAGTAAATCTTTAAGCCATAAGGCCTCTTTAATTGCTTCAATAGTAGTAATATATTCAGATTCAGTGGTAGATAGTGCAAAAATATGTTGTAACTGTGATTTTCAACTAACACATGAATTTGATAGGGTAAACACGTAAGAGGAAGTCGATTTCCTACCATCCCTATCTCCCGCATAATCAGTATCTACAAAACCCTTCAATTTTACACCTTCCTCATTAGCACTGAACTTTAGACCTACATCACCCGTACCTTTCAAGTACCTTAATAACCACTTTAATACTTCCCAATATTCAGGGCTCGGATTAGCCATGTATCTACTGAGAGTACTAACAGCAAAACATAAATCCGGTCTAGTGCAAACCATCAAATATATTATGGAACCAATCACATTAGAGTAAAGTACTCTATTCATATATTCTACTTCACGCTCATTGCAAGGGGATTGTTCCTTCGATAAAACAAAATGATTAGCAAGAGGCAACGTGATAGGTTTGCAATAACTCATATTAAATTTCTTCAATACTTTGGATATGTATGGAGACTGATGCAAAAACAAAACGAAATTTGACCTATCTCTTTCTATTTTCATACCTAGGATTCTCTTAGCTTTACCTAGGTCTTTCATGTCAAATTCACTACTTAGTTTTGCTTTTATGTTATTTATCCACTTAGTGGATGTTCCAATCATGAGCATGTCGTCCATATAGAGCAACAAAAACAGATAATTATCATCAGTCTCATTATGTTGAAAATACAAGCAGTGATTAAATTTACTTCTTGGGAACCCTATAGTGAGTACAAAGGAACCAAATTTCTTGTACCACTGTTTAGGAGATTGTTTTAACCCATTCAAGGATCTTCTCAGAAAACATACATAATCAGGTTTTAACTTATCTTTAAAACCTTTTGGTTGATTCATGAAAATTTGTTCATCAAGCTCACCATGTAAAGAAGCAGTTTTTACATCAAGTTGTTCAAGTTCCCAGTTAAAGTGTGCAACCAATGCGAGCATGACCCTAATAGTGGTGTACTTAACATCTGGTGAGAAAATCTCATTATAATCAACGATCTCCTTCTGTGTGTAGCCTTTAGCTACTAACTAAACTTTAAAACTTAAGGGTTCCGAGCTGCTAGTACCTTCTTTAACCTTAAAGACCCATTTGCAATCAACAATTGATTTGTTCTTAGGCCTAGGTACTAGCTCCAAGGTATGATTCTTTTCTAAAGAACTCATCTCTTCTTTCATTGCTTTAAGTCATTCATTAGATTGATAACTGCCTATTGCCTCTTCAAAGGTTTTTGACTCTTTATCAGCTGGTTCTTCATAATTAGCCTGGGCGAAAGCTAATTCAGATTCAAAATCGAACCTTTTAGGTTCTCTCGTTTGTCTCCTCTCTTTATCCCTAACTAAGTTGTAGTTAGTTAAAGGTTTTTTTCCTCATAGTGCTCTTCTATCACTATTTCGTTACTATTCTCCACCTCAGGTTCCTGAACTTGAATCTCCACCTCATTAAGAGAAGTAGGGGCAGGTGTACTGAGCTTTCCTAACTCCACCTTAAACGGGTCTCTCTCTTCACCTGGTTCAGTTTCACTCTCAGGTTCAGTTTCCCCTTTAATACACGGCATCTCATTCTCGTTAAACGTGACATCCGTACTCATGATGATCTTAACCCTTTTTTGGCTTCTATCCCATAACCTATAACCTTTTACACCCTTGGGGTATCCTAGAAAGACACACTTCCTAGCTCTAGGTTCAAGCTTACCCTCATTTTGATGAGAAAAAACTGTATAGCCAAAAGTTCTAAGTATCGAGTAATCACTCAATTTACTCGACCATCTCTCATGCGGAGTGTCACCATTCAATGCAGCAGAAGGAGTCAGGTTAATTGAATAACAAGCAGTCATAACAGCCTCACCCTAAAATGACTTGGGAACACCAGAACTTATCATTATGCAACGTACTTTATAAAGTATGGTCCTATTCATCCTTTCTGCTACCCCATTTTGCTATGGGGTGTAAGGAACGGTCTTATGTCTAGTTATGCTGCTTTCTTTACACATACTATCAAATTTCTTATTGCAAAATTCTAGGCCGTTATCTGTCCTTAAAAATTTGATTTTCTTGCCAGTTTAATTTTCCATTTGTCTCTTCCAATTGTTAAAACTATTAAAGGTCTCAGATTTATCTTTCAATAGATAGACCCACACTTTCCTAGTGTAGTCATCGATAATAGACAGGAAATACCTATTTCCATCCGATGTGAGATTACTAGCAGGACCCCACAGATCAGAGTGCACATATTCAAGCATGCCTTTAGCTCTATTAACACTCGTGGAGAAAGAAGTTTTATGATGCTTACCAAGCACACAATGATCACAAAATGACAAGTCTGACACATTCATTATCAAAAGCACATTTTTCATTTAGTAGCTTAAGTCCCTTGATGCCCACGTGAGCAAGTCTATTATGCCATGTGTGTGTGTGTGATCAATCTTGGCAGAAGAGATAGAGGAGTTCAAATTTCTAATCACTTCCCCAGTAGTAATATATATATCGTTTTTCTTAATTCCCTTAATGGAAACTAAAGCACCCTTGATCATTTTTNGTTGAAAATACAAGCAGTGATTAAATTTACTTCTTGGGAACCCTATAGTGAGTACAAAGGAACCAAATTTCTTGTACCACTGTCTAGGAGATTATTTTAACCATACAAGGATCTTCTCAAAAAACACACATAATCAGGTTTTAACTTATCCTTAAAACCTTTTGGTTGATTCATGAAAATTTGTTCATCAAGCTCACCATGTAAAAAAGCAGTTTTTACATCAAGTTGTTCAAGTTCCCAGTTAAAGTGTGCAACCAATGCGAGCATGACCCTAATAGTGGTGTACTTAACATCTGGTGAGAAAATCTCATTATAATCAACGATCTCCTTCTGTGTGTAGCCTTTAGCTACTAACTAAACTTTAAAACTTAAGGGTTCCGAGCTGCTAGTACCTTCTTTAACCTTAAAGACCCATTTGCAATCAACAATTGATTTGTTCTTAGGCCTAGGTACTAGCTCCAAGGTATGATTATTTTCTAGGGAACTCATCTCTTCTTTCATTGCCTTAAGTCATTCATTAGATTGATAACTGCCTATTGCGTCTTCAAAGGTTTTTGACTCTTTATCAGCTGGTTCTTCATAATTAGCCTGGGCGAAAGCTAATTCAGATTCAAAATCGAACCTTTTAGGTTCTCTCGTTTGTCTCCTCTCTTTATCCCTAACTAAGTTGTAGTTAGTTAAAGGTTTTTTTCCTCATAGTGCTCTTCTATCACTATTTCGTTACTATTCTCCACCTCAGGTTCCTGAACTTGAATCTCCACCTCATTAAGAGAAGTAGGGGCAGGTGTACTGAGCTTTCCTAACTCCACCTTAAACGGGTCTCTCTCTTCACCTGGTTCAGTTTCACTCTCAGGTTCAGTTTCCCCTTTAATACACGGCATCTCATTCTCGTTAAACGTGACATCCGTACTCATGATGATCTTAACCCTTTTTTGGCTTCTATCCCATAACCTATAACCTTTTACACCCTTGGGGTATCCTAGAAAGACACACTTCCTAGCTCTAGGTTCAAGCTTACCCTCATTTTGATGAGAAAAAACTGTATAGCCAAAAGTTCTAAGTATCGAGTAATCACTCAATTTACTCGACCATCTCTCATGCGGAGTGTCACCA